AGCAAACCAACAAAAAAGAAATGTACTCATTACTTGACTTACAAAGTGGCAACCCCTGGGCACACCAGCTTAGTAACAACAAAACTATATATATATATTTTAAAAAGAGACATCTACCCTTCCCTCAAACTGATAACCAACTCATTCTAGAAACTCAAGACACAGGAACTCATCCTCACCCAAAGCCTCACTATTGTCTGAGTCTTCCAGTTAGTGGAAACTGGTTTTCTCATGAACATCAGCTCAGTCTTCTTGGCAGTTACACTTACTGTCAAACAAATGAAAGGAACATCATAGGCAACAAATGTGGTCAGAATTGATAACAATTCCTACAGATGAATAGCGTCTGTGTGCAAACATATCTGTTACTTGCTAGAAGAATAACATTCTGCCATAAAAGTTAACTTAATTTCAAGATAGTCAAGAAAGTCAAGGTTTTTACTGACGTCAATTATGTTTTAGGTGCTAAAGAATGACTTTTGAGTCTGACTGACTGAGCTTGGCTCCTGCCTAAATTGTTACAACCTATGTGACTTTACAATGGAAAAGTGATTAGGCCCTTGAAGAGATACTTGGAGGTCTCATGATCCTCAAGGGTTGTGTGGGAGCCATATCGAAAGCAATCTCAGAACAGAACCTGTAACAACCCTTCAGCTCCTTACACGGGATTTGCCTCTTCCTGCTGAAATAAAAAAAAATAAAATAAAATGGAAAAGACAAGAATGTCTACTTCACAGGACTGTTACGTTTAAATGAAGTAATATTGTAAAGTACCTAGCACAATGTCTAATACTTTGTAATGCTTTGGAATAAATACCATCTACTAAGCCACAAGATTGTATCTACTTGGTGGCAGGAACTATATCTCATTCCTGTATTTCCTATCATAGCCCATATATTACAGATGTTTACTTAACAAATGGTTATTGATGAATCACATTAGTTAAGCCTACAACTTAACTAAGCAAGATTCCCAAACCTTAAGATAAAATATACTACTTCTATATGTTCTCTTTTATTCTATCTGTAAGCATACTACACTGAATTATCACTTGTCAGACTTAACCACCTCAATTTTTGTAACCAACACCGAATAAACAAAACATGTGGGTGCACTGAGTTTGTGTTTGTGACTGGGACAATTAGTCTATAATGCAATCTAGAAATGGATCATATTAACAAGTAAAGTTTTTAACCTTAAGGAAGCCAGGTGCAGGTAGCTCATGCCTAGAATCCTTCCTACTCAGGAGGCTGAGATCTGAGGGGCATGGTTTGAAGCCAGCCAGGCAGAAATGTTTGTGAGACTCATCTCCAATTAATCACAGGAAAAGCCAGAAGTGGAGCTGTGTGGCTCAAGTGGTAGAGAGCGAGCCTTGAGCACAAAAGCTGAAGGACAGTGACCAAGACCTGAGCCAGGACTAGCACAAAAAAGGATAAAGGAAAAGTTCATTTTAGCATTTTTCTAAGAGTAGTTAGCAGCTAAGCCAACATCCCTGATAGGCTTAGTCTTGGATGTGTAGGCATTTTTTTCACCTGGAAGTCAAACTGAAAAACAAAGCTCTTAAAAATAATATAGTAACAAAATAGCTGTGATGGGACAGTTATTAAGAAAAAGAGAATGATAGTAATTATCAAACTTCAATTTCTATGGTAATAACACTTTGGCTCAATCTCATCTAGTTTCAAAGTGTCTTGGGAGTTAGGAGGCCGTTTAGTCCACAATCTCCTTTGCTCATTGAACAAGCAAAAGAATGCTAAATCACCTCTGACCATATAAAATAATTTTTATCAAAATGAACTCCAGGAAATGGAAACAAGAGGTTTTATCTTTGTTAAAAATAAAACCATTTTTAAAAAATGCCAAGTCAACCCCAGATGAGCTCAAGATTTGCATTCTTGCAGTTTATATTCAACAAGAGATGCCCTTTCTTTTCCTTAACACTAACACTAAGGTACTCACTCACTTTTTATATCAGAAACTTGAGGAAATGCAATCAGTGATTCTATCTTTCTACTTTGGTCGTGAGTTAGAGGAAGTTTATGGTATCAGCTACCAAAGAACAAGTTTTTTCAGGGCAATTCAAAGTCTCTATTTGATTTTTTTTAATGTTGTTTTGACAGTTCAGTTGATTGAGCAGTTAAAAGAATTGTTCTGAGCCTAACCTGACAAAATGCTGTTGCAGCAGTAATAACAGTACTGCTATTGTTTATTGAGCATTTACTTAGGAGTTAAGTACTAGGCTGAAAACATTCCGTCTTCACAATAATCCTAAAATCAGTATCCCCAATATAGACAAGAGAAAAAGAAGAGAATACTTGCCTAAAATCACACATAGCTATTGGCACAGGAATCCAGGTCCAAATCTATAGGGACTTGCACTACAGCCCTTTGTTCTTATATGGCCCGAGCAAAGAACATTTTTTTACATTATTAAAAGATTATCAAAATAAAATAAAATGTAGGCATGAAAATCTATATGGTATATAAAATCCAGAAGCTGTAGTATCTGCCCCTTTGCAGAAAAAAATTGCTGACCTCTGGTCTACAGCTTTGTACCTTTAATATCACATCATATTATCTCTCCATAGGAAAGAGTTATCTGCAATCAGTTACCTTATTAAAACACCATAATACTCAATTATATTTAACTCAATCTACAGTACCATTTTAACAATTATTTATAAGTTCCATGAGGCAGGATTCCTATACTTCTTTGTATTTTATGTGCATAATATATAGTAGATGAGCCAGTAAATGTTTGTTGGCAATAGTAAACAAATCACAAACCACCAAAGAAACAAATGTATACCTTATCTAGACAATTTGCTTTTGGGAACACTATAAATGAAATGAAAAAAAAAGAAATAAAAGAACCTCCTAATATGTCTGAAAACCAGGAACTAATGGTGAGCAAAGATATTTTACACACAGGCTTAGAATTGTATTACTTTACAAATGGTAAAGAAGCTCAAGTTCATGCATTTTCCTGAGATCCATAAACATTTTAGAAGTCTGGATTTATTGGAAAGGAGTGGGGGATGGGACTACTAGAAGAACTGCCTTTTTGTGCCAAAGCTTCGCCTACCTATCTGCATGTCTCAGAGAAAAACCTCAGCAAGTTCAACAATTTAAGACTGTTCCACAAAACTGCACAGACAGGATGGTTTGTCTTCCCTCATCAGCATGTCCTCACATACTGAGCAGGACAGACATCAATATGTAGCTTCTTTTCCCCTCAAGTATGGCTCAAAATGCCTGTGCTGAGCTTTGGTTTACCTTTCTCACCCTGCCACTGAAAAAATAGAAATAAATAACCTCAAGAAGAAATCATATTGATACACAAGAATCCAAGCTGTGGACTCCAAAATCAGCCAATAACCTCATGTCAAAATCCAGTCACACATACATCATATGCTTGATGCTTGTCAATTGCTTGGCTGAATTGTTCACATTATCATATGGTACCAGGCCATGTTGCTGGAAGAACCATAACTCTTCCTCATCCTTATTTCCATAAGCCTGACTTGGAAGGGTCAATCAGACATATCCAAATCAGATTATCACAGGCACAGTACAGTAGATCATCATTTCAAATACTCTGCACCTTCTGTGGTCTATTTCACGTGCAGGTTTTTCGTTTGCTTGGGTTCTACAGGAATAAGGTTTTCATTTTCACCCTGGAAAGGACAAGGCATAGCAAAAGCCTGGTGATGAGTAAAGGTCGACTCTGGCTGGTTCCAAAAGAATGCCAGATGCTGGACAGTAGAAGAGTACTGCAGTTTCCGTGAAGCTTAAACAAATTGATACCCAAGAGAAATAAAAAGCAGTGATGTCTTCCCTTTACCCCCCAGGTCCAGTCCAATCCGAGATACCGCACCCACTCCCTTCCCATCCTCAATGTCCGTTCGGGTCCCAATTACAGTAGGCAAAGAAGGAACCCCGGTGCAGAGAAAAAGGGGGTGGGGCCAGAGGCAAAAGAAAAAGGTGATGAATCGCAGAGAAATGAGAGGGCGAGGGCGAGGAGGGAAAGAGGTGGAGAAATGGGGGAGGGCATAATTAATAAAGGGGAGTGAGGCAGAGAAACAAGTGGGATGGGTAAGGCGAGGCAAATAAAACGAAGGGCAACCAAATGTAGGCCGAGCAGGGCCAGGAAGAGGTGAAGCGGTGGCAGGCAGACAATCGGACAGTACCAGGGGGTGAAGAGGGGTCTGAAGCACTTGCCATAAATCATAGCCAGGCCAGTTTCATGCAGGAAGCGGGCCCGGCGGTGCTTGAAGAGCCAGATCGTCAGAATGGTGAGGGTGAGCAGCAGGATGAAGATGAGTAGGTTAGCACTGTCCTGCCGGTGGCTCTCTTCTGCTTGCTTCTCCGACACAATCTCTTCGTCCATGGCTCTCGTCGTTCCGCCGGCGCCGTCCGAAGCTCCAGCCCAGCCAAAGACACCCACTGCTAGGAGCAACCAGAGGGGCCTCAAGAACGGGCGGGCCCGAGGCCCGACGCCACAGCGCTGAGGAAACCAGCAGCGTCGAGCCAGAGCCATGTCTATTTCCCCCCCCACCCCTGCCCTCCACCCCCTCCTCAACAGCAGCCACTCGCGGTCGGACCACTCCCCGAGGGCTCACGGGAAAGGGGCGGGGCCAGAAGCCGTCGGAGCACCCGCCGCCACCACCGCCGCCTCTGACACTCTTAAAGGAACCGCATCTCCTCTAGCTCTCCCAGATTCCTCTGCCCTTCTGCCAGCCCACCAACCAGGGAAAGACCGTCGAATTCAGCCCACTTTCTGCTGCTGCAACAATGTTAACTCAGTGTAATGAAACAGTGGCAGATTGGTTTGGGTATTTTTAGAGCTCTCAGGAGAACCGATCTTTCATAACGCATCCTAATATTGTCCCCCAGGGTCTCTTAACAGCCTAAGAAGTTGTTCTCCTTAGGGAGTGGTCTCAGTCCTCACATCTGAAATATAAATCAGATTCTCCTCATTGTGTCCTCATTGGAAAACAAAACAACCAAGAATAGTTCATAAACAATTGACTGAAAAGCCTGGATCTATCATGGGTGTGGCTCTATATGCAGTTTTCTTTACACATTAACACTTGATACCTGTCATCTGTAAATATTTGCACAAAAAAAAATACCAACCTTGAAAAGGAGATTCAACCAGTTTGTGCTCAAATTGACCAAAGCTCAAAAACAATCCCCTCCCTAGAGAAAAAGCTTTATTGTGGTCTTCCCTCTTTTTAATGGTGTCTTAAACTAAAAGTCCCCAAATAGGGGCTGGGAAGGTGGCTCAGTGGTAGAGCACTTGCCTTGCATGCATGAGGCCCTGAGTTCGATTCCTCAGCACCACATAAGCAAAAAGAAAAAAAGCCAGAAGTGGTGCTGTGGCTCAAGTGGTTGAGCGCTAGCCTTGAGCTGAAGAGCTGAGGGACAGTGCCCAGGCCCCACGACTGGACCCCCCCCCAAAAAAGAATAAAAGTCCCCAAATAAGCAGTCATCTTTCACCCCTACTTCTCATCTGCTTTCCAGAAAGCATATTTTCTTTGTTCTCAACTTCACACAGTAGAATTTTCACAGCTCTTGCCCCCATACTTGAACTTTGCAGTGGAGAAGAGTGGGAGTCCTATTTTTCCATACTTAGATGGATTGTTAGTTTGTGTGAACTTTATTTTTTCTAGACTTTCATTTCTACATGTATGAACTACAAATCTCAAGCTCTGGCCTGCCACTCTCCCTTCAAGCCTCTATCTTTGGGACACACATTAGAATACATCATGCAGAGGCTCCTCAGCCCTCCCAAATTAGAAATGTGTTGAATTGAGGTATCTTTGCCTGCAGTGAATACTCTTCAGTCAAAAGTCTTCACACTACCTTTAGTACGACTTTCAATCCAATTCCTATCCTCCTGTCTAGAACTTATCAGTCTTAAAAAGATTTTTATCTCAGGTCCAGTAACCTCCCTAGCAAAACAAACAGCCCTTAGGCAGAAACATCCTGTCTCAGTAAATTTACTTTCCAGAACACAAAAGGCTCAAGGCCTATGTGCATCTGATCATAGAAAATAATATTTATCAAGATGAACTGCAGGAAATGAAAACCAAAAAAAAGCTTTAAAATAGTATTCCACTCCCAAGTTCTGTCCCCAACAGGTCACAAACTGTCATAGACAATGAATATGCCCATTCTCCATTCTCCCCTGTTAATAACTGGATCTATGTACCTTTCCGGGAAATCTCACGGCTGCCTGCTCTTGCTGCCTGACTTCAGCGTAATCATATCACCCTATTCCCACAGGGCTGGGCATCAGAGAGGTAACTCCAGCTAGTAAGAGCCTTCTTGGTCCTCCCATTGCCCCTCCCCAACCTGTCCTTAAGCTCCCACAAAGCCTGCAGAAAGAGCACACCTGTGGCTTTAGGTCTAACCATTCATTCCAAAACTACTTTGCTTCACAAAACCAAATGCTCACAGTTAGAAAACATATTCAAACCCAGACTCCACCTCTGTTCATGTGGCCCCAGCAATTTTGTATGCTCCTTTAACAGCTTCTTTTTCCAGTAGAACTCCAGGGGGGAATCTCATTATATAGTCCAAGCTGACACTTTCAAGTGTCTACAACATTTCTGTGAAGTATTGCACTACTTATCCCTTCCCCTAGAAAGATAAGCTTCTCCAAAAAGTTGCCTACATTCTAGCTTTCCCACTCCCTAAAGCTAGGATTGCCTAACTCAGACTACAGCCTGATCCTCCAGCTACAGGCTGCAGTGTTCTGGGATTGTGTGTACCACCATGCCTTCTTTCTAGCGGGTATCTTGCCAGAGCAATTCCCATGACGCAGCTCCCTACAGTTTGTATTTTCAAACCCATCTATTGTCACATGCCTTTCATCCCACCTATGTAAAAAGCAGAGGTAGGAGGATTAAGGCCCAAGAGCAGTATAGGCAAAAATGTGAGATCCTACCCAACAAAAACGAAATCAAAAAGTGCTAGGGATATGGCTCAAGCGATAGAGCACATGCCTAGAAAGTGAGAAGCTCTGAGTTCAAAACCCAGATACTGCTTGTTGCCTTCCCTTCTTGTACTTGTCAGTATGCTATGCGGAATGGCCTTACTTGTGAACAAACTACTGTTTCATCTATGGCCTTTCCATCTCCTTTATCAGTGCCTGTACTTCTCTCAGCATGTCACTTACCAAGACATCACAAGCTATTTCAAGATCACCCAGTATATTTTGTCACAACCTTACTGTCATCCCCCACCCCCACACTCACCTCATCCCCTCTGTGATGTGGCTGAAGTAGCTGGCACTTTACTCTCAACTCATATTTCTCAGCCCGTTACTCCTCCACCCTTCATAGAAGATCTGTACCTTCTCCTTCCCTTGTTTTTGATAGTTAATGACTTCCCAATCACTCCCACATACCCTGTGAGTACTTGGACATCAGATTCAGTGGCTTTCCTTCTCTGGCCATCCCAACCCCTCCAGCCCATTCATTACCTTGAGTGACTTCAGAGCTCAGATAAACAACTCCTTATAATTCTAGCCTTGCTTCTTTTTTCACTGGGAAACTGAAACCATTCTGGGAAAATCCTACCGTGCCATTAACTTAAATATACTATCCGTGCCCACCCAGTTTTCCTACCTTCAATGGATGAAGTGTTTCCTCCTCCTTTCAGAAGCTCCACCCTCGGAAGCAGAGCTGTGACTCAAGTGGTAGAATGCCAGCATGAGGGAAAAGGAAGTGTTCAAGCCCCAGTCCTGACACAGAATCTTCTCTCTCAAACTGTACTCCAAATCCCAGAATCTCCTTTCTGTCCGTGCCAGAATCAACTCTAATTATCATCCCCTAAACCCTATAGCCACCATTTTCTGTGGCTCCTTCTCCACTGTGCCTTCCTGGTTCCCCATAAACACTTTCAAGTGTCTACAACATTTCTGTGTGAAGCACTACTCTACTAATCCCTTCCCCTAAAGAGATAAGCTTCTCCAAAGATTTGTCTGCATTCTTGCCTTCTCACTCCCTAAAGCTAGGATTGCTTAAAGTCAGACTATAGCCTGGAGGCCAGATGCAGCCAGTCACCTATTTTAATATGACCCGAAGCTAAGAATGGTTTGGACATTTTTTTTAAAGAATGAGAAAACAAGAAGAATATTTGAAACCTGTGAAGAACATGTGAAATCAAAATTTCAGTGGCCACCAATAAAGGAACTTACTGGACATGGCCATACCCATCTGTTCACTTATTGTCTGTGGCTGTTTTTCTGCTATATGAGCAAAGTTGAGAGGTTCTGAAAGAGACTTTGGAACCTGCAAAGCCTAAAGTACTTATTACTTGACCTTTTCCTGAAAAGGTATGACCTCTGCCTTAGTCTTAAATCAGACATTCTTCCCCAGAGGGAGCTTCTAAAGCACAAATCTGTTAATATCTGTCTCACTCCTGGTCACATGTTCTAATGTCAATTCTTATGCCTTAATCTAGCCCATAAATGGTCCCCATGGCCTGTTCCACACTGCCTCTTCACCCTTACAGCTTGTCCTTCCCCCTCCCCCAATATATTTTTCTTCAGCTATTTTAAACTCCTTCAGCTCTGCTGAACCTTGTACTTCCCTGAATGCTTCTTATGATTCTGCAATATCCATATGCCTTTCTGTATATTCCCTCTGCTTGGATAGGTCTTCAATCCCTTTCTCAACAAGTTCACTTTTATCTGCCTGCCAAAACTCAGATTAAAAGTCACCAAACTTTCCAACATGCCCTCAGACTAAATTAAGGGACCTCTTCCCAAGGGTTCCTGAATCCCTTGGCAGATCTCCATCTTAATCTTCCTGAATCAATCACTATCATTAAATCAAAACATTGTCCTAAATCAAACATATGTATGATTGCCATGTTTGTTTTACAAGGTCATAAATACTTCTAGGGCTGGAATTGGGTGTCAATTTTGTTCTTTACTAGAAATACCTAGCACAAGACTTAATCAAAAGAAGCACTCAATAAAACTTATCTGTGCCTCAATAGATAGCTCAAATGTCATTTAGTCCAAAAGAAATCTGTATGTTTGCAGATGGCATTAAATCCCCCTGAATACATGGATCCAATTCAAGGATAAACTGAAAGAAGTACAGAGGAAGTGCTCAGTAAATACCTGATAACTGAAAAGTGTAAGGTTTGCTGGAAAGGAGACTGCCTTTCCAGGTTCAGGGAGAAAAAGAGTTTATTGGGGGAGAGCAAACTGCAGGTCCTCAAGAGATGGAGGCATGTAGACACAGAGGGGAAGGAAGAAGAGAAAAAGAGAGGAAGAGTGCATGGGGGACTTGTATTGAGGCAGATTATATAGGGAAAGGCAGGAAGCGGGACCAGAGCAGATGTGATGCCTGGGGAACCTCTCACTGTCTGAGAGACTTGACCAGGGTGGTTCAGGAAATGACCTCAGTGGATGAGGAAGTGACCTCAGAGCCTGGGATACTTTGCTGACTCACTCAGGTGACTGACTGACAGGTGATTACTGGTTTCAGGCATGTGAAGAGGGTGGAGGGGCTGTTCTCC